ATAATGTAATCATGCAAGGTACTAAAGACATGACTTTACTTTAAATATTTTTGTTCTTTTATTTGCGCATAGCTGGTGCTTAATTCCATTAGTAGAAATGTTGCAGCTTCAAATGCACCACCAGCGAATTGCAACACATTGACTTCTGCACGAAACCTGCTGCAAACCACTTTTTCCTCAATCAGCGTTAAAGTTCTAGTCCTTCATTTTGTACTTATGCAAAAGTGTACACATGGTCTGGGCAGTACTTTAACCACGGTAGTGCAGAATCGGTCAAGCATGTGTCGCAAAACTACTATTCATTCTACCATTACGAAATTAGTTACCGCAACTGCAGGCGCAGTCGATGCGCAATGGCTCTCCGCTGCAGATTTACCTCCAACTTCCACTTCCGTCGAATCCCTATGTAACTGGCTTTAATTGTATCGCTGTCGATTGAGTTTTGCACGATTTCATTCATCACATGATCTTCCAACCACGCAGTCAAGCATTTTAAAATTCAAATGCATCTCTACCTGCATCCTGATCTACCTGCGATAAAATCTAGCATTAAAAGTTTGCGAAATTGATGCCAGAAATAACAGTGCCGTAGCATTTCTGCTAGGAATCACTTTCAAATCTTTACCCGGATCTCCCTTCCAGTATGTCATAGTAAGGTGTACTTGAAAGAAGTCATTCAAGCACATCAACACACTTTCTGGTATTAAAGATGGTCTCGTTTACAGAGCATGCGTCTTTTAATCAGGGAGGGGAATAATTTCTTCACTTCTTTTGTGGTTCAATGTGCGTTTGAAAATACAAAGTACAATTTTGGCGTCCTTGGATGTACTGCTACATGGATCCCCTTTCCCATTTATTTTGTCCAAATAAACTTCCAATTTGAAGTAGTTATCTGACTGACTTCGGTTGAGAGGTCAATCAAAGTAGGTAAATTCAAATATACGATCTCCCTTCAGCAATCTTAATGATAAAAGCGGAAACCGCGTGAGGAATTGAATTACGCCTTGTTGTCAAATAGGAAATGATGGGTGAGTTGAGGTCTGTCGATTAATTTACATAACCATGTTTCCTGTGGACAGCGGTAGTGTAGGCAGTGGTAGACTAAACCAGAGTGTGGCTTTCTTGTTCTGTTTACTCCGTTTGGTGACCTACAATTAGATGAAACTGCTAGTAGGGCACGAATGCACACATCATTGTGGTAATGCACAAGCACACTTTTGTTATACTGATTGGGCATTTCCTTTAACTTACCACCTAATTACGCCGGTGTGTCGGTACGCACAGACTTTGTTCCCGAGTCACGACATGGTTCGGTTTGAGGTTGATGTCCTAGCAACCTGTGATTGGTACACGAAATGCTCTCCTTGACGAGTACCATCCACTCATTAGCAGTAGGAATCCTGCACACTTCCTTCTCTACTATACATTTCGCACAGACGACGCAGATGCGGATATAACGAGACATTACAAAGTGCACATTCCCTTTTGATTTTGTCAATTGCTTGCTCATGTTCCCACGTTTGCGTCACTCGCCTCATTGCCTCTCCATCGGCGCACATGAAGCCAATTTCAGTGGTCTTTTTCCAAGGACTTAGGCTACTTTACAAGGTGAAAATAAGTCGATGTGTGGGTGTGTTATTGCAAAACCGAATTCCCAAAACTCGCATTCATCTTCCAAAAATGAAAAATAACATTGTGTTCAAGAAGTAGTCGCTATCTCCTGCGTTTTCACATCATTCGGGCACATGCCGCAGATTAACTGTAGTGTACTCATTTAGAACCAGCTCTACGCAATGCCACATGGATATTCTGTAAAGTCTACCGGCTAGAGTCACTAATCTTTTTCATCCACCTTATTCCTCACATCTGAAAGTGTGTATATTTGTTTCCGTGCGACTCAACATAAGATTGGCATAATCCGAGCGAAGACACTTCAGCTGAACACAGCCGCCACGTATAAACCGGTAGCTTTTGCTAATTATTATACATTTTGAAATACATCACCCTTACTTTTATCCAAAGGCAGGTTAATTTTCCCCAAGACTGCATGCAGTTGACCCAAGCAACCGGATTTCAGGCTGCACACGAAGGGAAGGTCTATGCATCAATTCGCCTACAAAATAAATGGTAGTCATGCACGAATCTACGCCCTTCTAGAAGAGAAATTTCTGCACTTGCGCGTCAATTTCTAGCGACGCATATTTTTTGTCTAGGTCCAGTTTCATTCTCGAAGTCTAGCCCATTGCAATAGACATGTTGATCCATTCAGAGACCCATTCCTTTCTTAGTACATCCACATGCTGCGATCCCTTTTTAATATAAGTGACATCATTTCATCAGCCATGCATTCGTGCCGACACTTCTGCTCTGTTTGTGCGTGATGTTGACCACACAGCACCATCGGTTTGTGTGTGGATTTGTATACCTGGAAAATCCAGCCAAGAGCAAACAATGGGTTACCGTCCCTCTTATCAGATCGGGTAAGCACATGAATGCACTACCTTTTCTGATCGACCGACATCACACAGGCTTCACTGAAGTACAGACTCCTTCATCAGAGTTGAGGCTAGAAATGGTTGTACAAGCACTAAGTTGATACTGATAACCATTGCCTTATAGCCAATTGTCAAAGCAGTGAGCCAGTGTTCTCCACAGCTCTGCTACTACTCAGTTCCATGCCTAACTGCCTGTGAATTGCATGTACCACTAGCCAATATTCATGACTCAAATAAGTGCGTGACAGTGAGGATTGCGCGATTTGCGTGTGGCCGTAGTTTTTAGCAGCAAAAGCTTATTTTCATCCAAGTTCGTGTGACAATTATATCTAGGTGTCGTCCCTTGTCACTACCTCAGCAATGCCCTTCCACCTTGCAGCTGTCTTTGTCTACTGAGAATGAACTGTGGACACACGCCACGGTTCCACATGGCAGTGCTCAATCGCCTTACAGCAAACGAAGCTGCATTACCACTAATTATTAGGGTAGAGTTGATTGTTATCAACTGCCAAACAGTGAGGAAGGCAGTAGACCCTAACAGATGTTTCCACGCCTGCGTTGTTCCTCACTTTGCTGAAACCAGATTTGGGAAGGCATTGACAGAGAGGCAGAGCAACTAGAAGAAAATGGACAATGAAGTGAAGTGTAGTGGGAAATACGTATTCATTGCACTAGTCATAACTAATGGATATTTATGTTGAAATCGGCTTCAGCATAGCACATAATATTTGCAAACTACTTGCGATTACCAATGCTATTAATGCTACTTGCAAATGTGTAGCAGCTAAGGCAAATGCAATTGCTGACGAGGTGGGAGTCGCATTGGCAGAGATGGAGAGATAGGCGTGCGAATGGGGATAAGAGGAGTTGGCGTGCCTTTTTAAGCCGCGTTTGTCCACTTTGTCAGCAATTCAGTATGCGATTGCACAAAGTTCAAGTGGAAATTCGCTTTTAAATCAGTGAAGAGGCTAGGTAGTCCTGTTAAATTCCCAGTCTAAGCAACAAATGTTACAATTAGGAATGTCTAGGCTAATTTTTTGGTTCCACAAATTAAAGTGCCTTGGAAATTTGAGTTTATGCATGAATCCAAGGTAAAGATGACACAATTAACAGGGGCAGGCAAATTGTTATGGTAGAGCTCGAGCCTGTGAGGAGTGAGAGATAGAAGTGCGGAATTTGTCGACAAGTCATCAGTTAATCTAGACAACAGCTTTGGCATTCTCTGATAATTGAGTGCTGTTGGGTTGTGCGAATACCTCGTTTACATACAGCGGTTCCTCCGTTGACAAATCCATGCAGCTTGTTAATAGCAGAGCCAGTTTGACAGCCTTATCACGAGGCAAAAATTCATTCCCATCCTTACTGGTAGTAGTTCACTTGACATAACGGAAACCGGAAATGTGGTCTTTTAGTTTGAAGGTGTATTATATGGGTTGCTACCTAAAAAATCCAAAATGCATTGTTAGTTGACAGTTTTCTGGATCGTAGTGAATGAGGAGGGAAAGTGATTTGGAGGCCGTACTTGAGTCTGAGGTAAAAGATATTTTCTAGCATACTCTAATGATTTAACTTACTCCTAACTGATGTTTGACTTGTAGAATGTGAGATTAGCAGAAACGTGTGAGAGGCCACAACTCCTCTCAGCCACTGGGCAACGAAATTTAACTGAACTTCCGGGTGTCGTTATAATTGAGTGCTAAGAGCAGCAGGATTTACTTCTGAAGTTGATGCCACATGGCTATGAGTGAATAAAGGGAATATAATTGCCATCTTGACGGAACAAAGTCCATCGAACATTCTATTTTTAGTTACGTGACCCAAGAACTACCCAGACGCCAGATTTGTTAGACTCAATGAGAGAGAAGAGCATACATGTTGTAATTTCTGTGTGAGCAAGATGGCTGAACTGTTGTCCTGCTTGATATAATCCGTCAGATACTTTCTCTTAGGGAAGGTGATCATTGTGTAGAGTGCGTACGATTTAGGAGGCCTCTGGAAAGATGTTTTGAAGCGCACTTTATTGTAGGTGCAATGGACTTGCTTGGATTCACAGTGACATTTGCAGTCCTGAGTTGTATGAAACCAATCCACATCCCTACATTCCTGCACCCCTGCAGAATGAAGACTGTGAATTCCAAAGAGAAAGAAAATGCTTACTATTGCTTTATGGTCCACTTCTCGGTGGTTTCCTCTCACAAAGCTTCAATTTCCTGCTGGTTTCTTGAATTGGACTTCTCTGGATTTGCAAAGACATGCAACATATTCAAAACGCGATAGAAGTGGGGCACCTAGCCTCAACATATCCCAACACGAAGAAGCACATTCTTAAGTCGAAGGGCCAACACTGGCATGCCTGTGGTTTGGTACCTCCTTCAAATCCCCCATTGAGCCAGTAAGACTGTTCAGTGCTTCTCCACATCACTTCGATTTAAGCACTAAGAGGGTTGTCAAACATCGCAGAAGCTGACGTTCATCACGCATTTTACCCGTCACCGTTTCCTACAATTTCTTTGTAAATAGGCTCTCCAAAAATCTATGTGGTCGATTGTTCCATTTCCACCATAGGTAAGGAATGCATTGAACAACTGTGAAACAGTAGTCCAGGGAGAAAACGTAAATCATGAGGGCTAAATTTCTATGGAAAATGAACAACCCACTGATCAATTGCTACCTTTGTTTCCTCTATGATGGTTATATCATGAAGTGACCACAAATGTTGACGCGGTTTTTTACCACAGCAGAGGCGATGCTCACTTTTCATCCATATCTGACTACCGTCTCACAGCCAGGTAGTCAGATGGGTTGCATACGTTCTCGTTCTTCACCAATTCAATTTATATATCGACATGGAACCGCACATGACTGAGGTGGTTGGCTAAACTACACACCAACTCAATATAATAGTTTAGACATAAGATGGGGTGAAAATGCGGGCAATTAGCAGTGTGTAAAAGAATAGGATGAAGGGCAGATGTGTGTCAAGAGAAAGGAGGTACTTAACAAACTTTTCAATGAAATAATTGCGACCAAAGTCAGACCAAAATTATATTGCTTGTTAAGGGAAACGCTGCCTCAATTGGGGTATCAAATCGATAAAATGGGATAAGCTTAGTCCATCCGACAAAAGTGAAAGCAGAAATGGTTCTCCTAGTAAAGAAAACAAAGCCCGAATTAGGACATCAAATGGTTGAGATGAGATTAACCTAGTCATCTTGACCAAAGTCAGACCAAAACTTAATGTCTTGGTAAAGGAAATACCTCTTTCATTTGGGCATCACATCAATGTGTTGAGATTACCTTGCTTAGCACGAAAAAAGTGGGAGCAGAATTCGATTACTTGGTAAAGGGAATACCATCTCAATTGGAATACCAAATCGATGATGCAAGATTTGCTTATTCATCCCGACCATAATCAAGTGAAGTTTCTTTAAATTGTGCAGGATATTAGTCTTCAGCTTAGGTATCAACTCGCTGGGATAAAGTTTACTTCGCCATCTCTTTCATATCGGGAGCATTATTTCATCATCTCTTAAGTCATTAGCAACTTTAATTTTGGCACCAGATCTAAGATATGACGTTTGCTTCACTGTATTGACGCAGGAAAATAATAACGTCATCACTTTTTAATCTAAATGCAAATTCAAGTTGATATTCGTGAGTACAGTTTTCTCAATTTTTTGTTTACCTATTCTAAATTTATCTGACTTTCACAGCACATTTTTGGGCTTTTATTCCTTTAAAGGTTTTGTATTTATTACAAAAGACACTTTAATAACTTATTGTGATCCGACCTCAGTTTCATTTATATTATTTTTTCTGCGGTTGTTAACATACTAACTTTTCTCAGATTTCCCTCAAGCCTTGTTATGCACAAACACTGTCCTCTTGAACTTATAAATGATGTTATGCAAAGGCTGTGCTATCACTTCATACTTTTTTCTTTCTAGACTGTGGTAGTTTGCATAATAATTAAATTTGTTTTAATTCGCCAGAAATCTTGCGTTCTCTCGTTTCTTCGTGTGCGCTGCAACAAAAGCAGTCGCATAATAATTGCGAGCACTTTAACCGCCTTTGTAAGTTATTTTGCAATAGTTATGGTCTTGTTTAATGGCCGCCTGTGATTGGATTGTTATGCATGCACTGAAATCTTAGCTGTTAACAAATCCTCAGCATGATATTCGTATTTGCTTGCAGGTTTTGCATTTAGGGCATACACATAGTGATTTTGAGCCTGGAGTCATTTGACAAAGTTGTTATATAAATGGAAGTTGAACGACCTTCTTGTATCTTGAAGACCTGTAGACTTTCCGCATTTTCACTGTTTCGACCTGGTAACTTCACTTTCCTTTAAATATTTATAAAGCACAAGAGTTTCAGTATTTAGTAATGGCGAAAACACGACTTAGTTTGCATGAGTTTTAATTCGCGACATCATTTGTTGTGTTGTTGAAGTATGTCAAGGTGTGCGGGGTTCTTGAAAGTCGACGTGTTATGCGGTTCAATTTTATAGAATAGTTGGGATTTCTTCATTATGAAATACTGGGAAGTGTAGTCAATTTAGAAGACATCTACACATTTCGCAATACTTCTTTTACTTTTAATACAATATATTATCTGGCAATGAATAACTACTATATTTACTCCGTTTCGCATTATTTTCCTAATCATGTATGCTTTGATTTTTTCGTTTTATTTTAGCAAGGATGAAGAGTCGGTAGTTTGCGGCAAAGGTTGTATCCTTATTCACTATCCCCGAAATTGACGTTCAGGCATCGAAGTGGATTTGTCCTTGTTTATTTGTCCATACGGTGCCTCTTTTGGTAAAACCTTCGATTTGCTCTCTTAGGCGAAGATATTTAAGCATAGACTAAGCAAAAAGTGGACTTTTACGTTTCTTAGCAGCACATTAAGAAGGTGGAGGGAAGTTGTGTAGTCACTCAACAGGTATCGACGTAATAATATGATGAGAAAGGATTTCTGGCGTGTTAAGTATTTCAAACCACCCAAACATCGTCACGTTCATGAGTGCTGATGCAAACACGCGAGTGACAAATGCCTCTGAAAGAACGTAGGCATTCATTTTCTGGTGTAGCTAAGTCATTCTTTTTTGCCTTCAGTCAGGTGTTTGGAAGTTGAGTATATCATGTGGCAATTGATGCTTTGGCTTCTGCATCTCACATGTGGGTCGAATTGCTTTCACTCTCGTAATGAGGTAATCATCCATGGAGGCTTGAGATCAGCTAACATGCTGCTCTTCGACAGGTGCACCACCCTCAAGATAAGTGACTTTGGCAGCTGGAAGATTTTTGACTTGAGCAAGGAGGAATTGCAGTCGGTAACTCAGGGCTGCCCTTTACGTGTCACTGGAGGTACAGCAGAGTAAGTCTTGATGTTCTTTTCACCCCCTTCTACATGATCAACCAAACTGATGTTAATAAGTTTGGGTCTCAATTTTGCTTTGCCATTTTTACTGCCAACGTCACATTTATGTAAAGCTCTGGTTTTCTTGTCTGGCCTTGGTGTCGGAAATCAAAGACATGATTTTCTTTTCAGTGTAAGAAAGCCGCATTTTTTACGTAATTTGGCAAGCTGAATAGCCGTGAAAATGGGTGACGTTGAGTTTCATTGCCGAAACCATTAAAATTTCTGAACTAGAGTGTGGTTGACGTGTTTAGATGTTGTGTGAGCTACTGGGACTGAATGACTAGTTGGAGAAGTGATGAGATCAAATTTGGGATAACGACTTTAGGAATGAAAAGACAGAAAGTCGTGATCTAGAAAGCGGTTTTATTACTCCACACGATTTCTCCACTTAGCATTTTTACACTTACTTCTGCGTTAAAACTGCACACTTGCAAAGCAGCTTTAGAGGTGAGTAATATGAGCAGATTTGAACCTTTCTGAAAGGGTCTGCTTCACTTCCTTGCAGATGCAGAAGTCACTCGATGCAAATCTTGGGTTTAATTTATGCAGCATAAGTCCTTCTCCTTAGATGGGGTTATGGCAATGCAGATGCGGCACGGTGTGCAGTATGACCCCGCATGTCATTGTGACTAAGTAGTCTTGACGGTCACCACTTCTCTAATTTTTCCTTCGACGTACCCTTTACATCACACAGAACGCAACAATAATATTCAGCTTTCGTAATGACCACCTCTGGAGGTGACTCCACATTTGCCCTAGGAAAAAAAACTGTCACTTAATGCGAGCGATCAATTGGTTGAACTTTGTTGGTGACAATAGGCCTGCATACTTCTAGTCTGGATGCCTGTCTTGACTCTAGGCACAAGCGCATGTTTCCCAATTTCGATGCATGCAGTGACTTCTTGCATTCAAATACGCCTTCGATTTGCCGCTAATTTAGCTTTACTGTCATTGTCGAAAGCAAAAATTGTCTTGACACGCATCGTTCTCACAGAAATGTTTGAGCGCACACAGCTTTCGCTCGTTCTTTATCCCAAACGTAGGTCTCAAGGGTGAATTCTCACCTGTTATTCAAAGCAGGTGGATGTTCACAGCATGACGGTTCCCATTTGGGGAATGCTGACACGAAAATTGGACCAGGATGTGTACCTCCATTACATGGAAATTCATTCATTCCCACCATTTCTAAAAGCTTCCTCGATCCGTGAGAATTTCCTCATTTTTACGTATCCGGAAGCATTGTCACTGGGGAGTAGAGATGACGGAAACTTTGTGCGTGCAGTGGAGGGGCAGTAGCCCCGTTTCAACGATCATCAGCGTCACAATTGGTTCTTCTGCTCCATTTCGTCATGCGCGATATCTTTACGTGGAATAACTTGATGCTGTGCATTGATTTCGAGAACGCTGAAGTTCCCAGTAGCTCCCCGAAGACCAGCAGCTGCACTGGTAAATGGACGTAATTTCTGGGGAAATGCTTACGACTGCACAATCTTCTGCGCACCTTTCCTCCCTCCAGAGCGCTCTCACATCTTTGCCACTGGTTTATTTCGCGTTTTTTTGTTTTCACCTAAAACTTCCTTTCCGTTTATTACTAATTGCTTCCTCCGCTGCTATCTTCAGCCTTTGAAAAGTTAAAAGGGCAATAGGTGAGAATTTACCTATCCTCAACAATTCAGTTGACTGCATTCATTTCCATTTATAACAGCCTAGCTTTCTTGTAATCACTTTTACTTTTTTTTCAAAGGGGTGGTGAATGTGCGACTGACATGGCTTTCAAAGTGCCGTGTCTTGAAGTAGTTGCACCTTGAGGACCTAGTTGGGCGTATCGCTATGGTGAGAAGTTTATTATTTATGGACGTGGAGGAGGACTTGAAGGCCGCAGGCTAGGTGGGTGATTACATAACCAAGGTGGCGAAAAGACAGGCGGGAGTGGGGAGTGATGAATCCATAGTTGAGCATGCAGTTTGAGTAAAAATATCGCCCCACGTTTCTATTTAGCAACTGGTGCATCGTATAACCCCTCTTCTTTACTGCCCATCGCAACGTAGTTGACGCATCGGAAACTTTGTATAGGACTAGTTAACTGAAATTGGAAGTGTTTGCTTAAATGTATATACGATTTTCGAGTCAGGTTGGTGTCAGAACGTTGTAATTGTCATGCTTTTCTGCCAAGACGTTGTGTTACCAGGGATGTAGGAAACGTACTTATTGTTCACGTACCCCAGAATCCTCAAGTAAACACTTTGTAAGATACGAAAAGGGCACTTACAACAAGATGGTACAAGTTGGGTTCCCTAAGGGAGATCTGTCTTAACACTCAATTTTTCGAGGGATAACTTCACCAAATGCAATCGTTGGCTTGCAGTTGTGCTGTTCTGTGGTGTATTGTGGTGTGGTGCGGTCGGATTTCGTGAGGAAGGAAGATTAGCTTGTCGTGATGCCTCATCACACGACTCATCCTTCCTCAATGCACAGCCCCTTCTCGACATCGCACATGCGTGGCATATACTCCCCACTAATTGGCATTACCTACGGGTTGCGACCAATCGTGCAGTCAAAAAGGCAATTTGAATGAATTGGCTAGAGCGTCGTAGGTGTGGAGTGATGTCGGTGGAGGAGACAACTGCATTTATTTTAATGTTTTTAAGCAGCAACAATCGAAATGGTCACTTTGTATCCTAGTGGGAGGACACGTGGACTGCGGCGGCCACTATTGCACCGACACTATCACAGCAAGTGCGTTAATGTTGGAGGCACGGATCCAATTACCCGACGTCGATTTCTTCCTACTCTGACTTTTGAGTGTGTTGCCATGCTTCCGCAAGAAGTGCCGCCGTGTTCCGTGTCCGCTGCTCTGATATCAGTAAATGTTCGTCTAGAATGTCCTGTTCTGTGATCATTCAGGCAGTTGCACCGAGATGGTGTTTGTGGGAGTGAAGTAAGCGTCGATAGGTCTGCAACATTTTAATTGCCTTTACCAGTAGTGATTTCCTCCTACATACACATTTTCAATTTTGCTTTTCCTAGAACAGTTTTCCTTTTGTGGACTCATTTTTCTTTGTAAAGGGATGTTTCTAAGGGTAAATGTCTTCTGGTCTGAGGTTGTTATTTCTCATTGAAACGCTCTTGTCCAACATCGTACTACTGCTTGGGCCACTTTGCCCCTTTTTTAGAGCGATGTTTTCCTCTTCCCTCCGCCTTTTTCACTTCAAGCAAGCACCAAACTTTGGTACTCTCTTATGTTTTTCAGTAATGATAAACAGCACTTTGCGCACCAAACCTAAAACTGGCATTCTACTAGGAAGGACCCCTTTCTGATTCCGGCACCCCTAAATCTCTCCTGGACAGGTGGCATCAGTAGGAAATGGGGCAAATGGCAGGTTCATTTATCTCTCATTCGTCAGCCTGGATGCCCATTCAGGAATCCTGCCGCAAGTTCAGGCGGTAGAGATGAGGCCTTGCTAATGCCTCCTCCACGCGTTCTCAATCCACGTCCACTTTCCCTCCAGTACTTATCCCCCACCACACATATTCATTCTCCCCTTCATTTACCCCTCTGCCTTGCTAATTAATCCCCTGGGACACGCACCTTTCCTATAATCAGTTTGCATTTTTCCTTCTAAATGCTAAGGCATTTTTTGTTTGATCAAAACAGACAGTGTTTGCGTAATTTGGGGGAATGGAATGCGCCGAAGCTGCATGGAAGTAATTGGAAGTGTGACTGAGTTGTTAAAGCACGAATGCGAGCTGGAATAGTGGGTACACGCATCTTCAGATTGCAAGACAATCTGGAGCTGTTAACTTCAACATGGATTTGAAATACGATTTTGAATAGGCGAACTGTGCTTATCTCGACGGAGATTCATTTTACCTCTCCTCGTCTCTCGAGGTTGGATAGTTCGGTCTTGAGAGTGTTAGAATCACCCCTCTGCACAACAGTTCGTCCTTCTAAAGTGCCTCTCGTTGAAACTCAAGTCAACGAAACTTATGGAGGCAGCTAGACGCATTTGTACAATAGTGTCTCTACGTGTAGTGGAGATGAAGTGGGCGTGAAATCACCAGAGATGGTGGCCTCAAGAACGCTTACATGGCGAGGCAATGAAATTCTCTCAAATGGTTGACGGGGTGCCAACTTTCAACTCACCCGCACGTGTTTTAGATTTTTACCCCTCTGCTCAGGCATAAGCGCACAACACGGAAGTGAGTCAGTGCTTCAAGACTGCACAGCGACCTGCGGCGGTTTACTGAGAGTAGGTGCAGGCAAGGTGGGTCAAATAAACAGCAATCCAGATTGATGCCTACTATGGCAGTTGCATTTGGCATTGGGTGCTTTGCAGCAGCCTCTTTCAATGGGAGGTGTCATCAATTGTTTGGGACATGACCGGAAATAACTCATTTCATTTCGCTGATCAGAGGCATTCCCAAAACCCTCAAGTTGGACTGACTGTAGTCGAGGGCGATGACGTATCAGAGTGTATGGGAACAGAGCTTTGAGTTGCTTCTGTGTGCTTCGCATTCCACTAGTTTCTTCTATGGATGTCAATTGCACCCAAGTTGACTCAAAGCACTGCCGCACCAAGAAATGCATTTTGCTGGGATGTCAACACTACTAATTGTGCATAAGTAGTGGAGATATTGCGAATGGCTTCGTTTGTTTCACCATCTTCTCATAACTCTGCGGTGCTGTTAGGTGGAAGCCTCCGAGACGTCTCTGTGGGGAAAATCTGTTTCGCCTCTCATCTTAAAATCTACTTGTTCATAGGTATTACCTCGAGTCTGGATATGAAATAAAAGCGGTTTCTTGATAATTGTTGCCATCTCTGTCAACATCTCTGTACTGTCAAGATATTTCAGTAAAATTTACTGGATTTGCTAAATAGAATTTAAGACACCGAAAAATTTCCCTCTACTGTGCGAATTGTTGCTAAAAGTGGGCTGAAATGCGATGTTGCGATACTGGTGCGGTGATATCCTTGACCATGCAGCCTCTTCAGTCCCCACGAATTTCGGTTCCGCTGAAGTCCATCGTTCAATAGCCAAAAGAGTCGCGTACAGTTATTATAATGAATTTCCTTAATTAAGCCAATATTTGTTGTTTTAATTGTTGTCAGACATGACGCTGCTCCCCTCAACCAAAGTGCCTACCACCGACAGCCTAAGTCCAATTGTACCTTCGCCTCCCCAGTTTCTGTTGCTTCTACTCCGACATTAATATTTGCGATGACTTGTAAATTTTCAATGGTGCCTTCTCCGTGATCCACTTTGTCTCCTTAGACAACTGAATGCGATGACAGTTGACTCAAGCACTTCAAATGCGTGGCTCTATTCAACCAGCCAAGATGCTAATCGCATGGTATTCACTCCCAAATTTCATCTGCCTTTAAGTGGCTCCACCCAATTTGGGTGTAGCAGAGGCGCTCTCGGAAAAAAAGACGCAGCAATTATATTGTTGAAGTGCATTCTATCACCTCAAGCCTCCAAGTCTTATTTGCTTGGTCGTCTTCGCCTCTTTAACCATGGCGATTATCATTGAGCTCTCAGCTATGCCA